GAGGGATGGACAAAACCAGACTAAAAGTCGGGTTCGCAAAAGAAATAGAGTTATCTCTAACTCTATTCATTACAATGCTTAAATACTAAATCGAATAAACTCAAATACGTCAATATTACTACTCTAATTCACTAATCGCAATAATTACCTCATAATTACACTGATCAAATACTAATCGTCATTCTTACCACATAATTTTAGTAGTCTAATTCATTACTCATACGATCAAAAAATACTAAGCCACGTCATTCATGTGACTGTAATAGGGCATGTCATATGCCTTGTTACGGGCTGATTCGAGACAAAAGCTGCCTCGATACCTACTCGATACCATCGTATCGAGCAGCTATAAATCAGCAAAAATAATAAATTTCTTTAGCATCAGTAGTATGGCGTTTGTTGACCTTTGTATTTAATTTGTCAAGTTTGTAATTTATTTAATACTATATTGTCATTAGTATTGATACATTTATCACATTATTTTGATTTTTTTTTTTGGCGACAATTTTACCTAAAAGTGCTGTGACATAATTTAAATCCAAAATAAGATAATAAAATTTGGTCCGGGAATGCTTTTAACTTAATGGGCGACTGCTAGAGATGTGCAAATGCATATTTTTTTTGGCTATGCAGCATGCAACATTATGCATCCAATCTTTCTTATTCCTAGACAAAAAGTTACTATTCATGATATTTTCAAATCTCATACGTATTAGTTAGCCTGCTTTATACAAATAGAAATTCACCAATACTATATATTACTTAGTGCTATACATAATATAAAATATAATATTTTATTAATTTTCATTGCATTAAAATTATATAGTAATTTCTATGTGCACTTTTAAAATTTAAAATGTCTACATTACATTATGCGACATTATGTTTGCATAATGCAATGAATGCACATAATGCAAAATGCTCATCTCTAGCGACTGCAGTCTCATCAGTAGATTTTTGGGAGTGAAATTACAGTATCGAAGATTCTATATGCAATTACGCACATATATATCATATTTTCAGCCTGATACGAACCATATCACTTTGTTTGGCACATATATGATGAAACACCTACACACATATAGTGCAGGAAATCTAAAACCTCGATCACTTTATATAATAAAGATCAACCAACTCATTGAAAATTAGTAATTAAAGAAATTCATTTTCAATGTGTTACTAGTTTATGTATTATCTCTATATAAAGAGATCGATGTTTTATTCTCACTCCTACATATTGATAACTTTTTTCAAATTATATCTAATATATTTAAATTCTATTAGCGTTAGGTTGACTTTATAATGTAGAACATGACTAGGTTTTCAAAAGAATGGTTTAATAGAAAACACATAAAGCTATATGATTACAATGAATTTTCTGAACTTAAAGAAGTTATTGGTAGGGGAGGATATGGAATAGTATGTAAAACGGTATGTAAAACAGCTATTAAAAGGTTGGACTCGACAGTTGCTATTAAAAAATTAAATATTGAAAAGAACAATGAAAAGAATGAAAAGTTTGTTAAAGAGGTAAGATGGCGGATTCGTGTGGACCTTAATATGAGCACTAAATTTAGTTAAAAATCAGAATTTTATTAATACAAATTGATACTTATTTTCAGATTGAGATTTTACGGAAAGTTTGGAAGCATCCAAATATCGTTAGATTTTATGGGGTTGTTCAAGGTTGGTAATAACAATTAAATTTGCAAATTCCAATAACTAATGACAAATATCTATATAAACAGAAACATTAGATGGCCACTATTGCATGGTTTTACAATTCGCGAACAATGGGAATTTGCGTCAATATATAAATGTTTTTTTTTCAAAACTTAAATGGTCTCATAAACTACAAATGGCCCTTGAAATATCTAAAGGTATTGCATTTTTACATCAAAAAGATATTATCCATCGAGATCTCGTAAGTAGTGTTTGATTATTTGTTTTCCTGGATGGACATTTAATATAAAACAGTATGATAAAAATTTTAATAAATAATAACTTCATCATCCAGCATCCTGAAAACATTCTAGTTCATGAAGGAAAAATGTTAATTTCAGACTTTGGTCTATCAAAGCGAATTAACGAGACAACTGAAACTTTATACTCAAATATCTATGGAAGACCAGGATATATGGACCCACAATGTTTCTACGGCCATAAATGTGATAATAAATGCGATATTTTTAGCCTTGGAGTAATTCTTTGGGAAATTTCAAGTGGCAGGCCACCATACCAATCATTTGGCGACAATATTGGCATGTGTCTTCGAGTATCTCTAGGAGAGAGGGAACGACCTATTGAGGGCACTCCATTTCAATATATTCAACTTTATGAAAAGTGTTGGCACATTGATTCTGTCATACGTCCAGATGCAGAATTGGTTTTAAATGAATTAATAGACATCATTATGGAGTTAAATGTATCCCAACAACCAATTTATATCGCGTTGATTTCGTTTTTTTTCGTAAATCCAATGTTCAATTCACCTCATGATTGTTTCGTTTTTTTTGGTGTCCCCCGACTCATTGATCAACATTGACTAGTTCCGACATTTTAAAATTGGTAGCTTGCGTTCTATAATATGACGCAAAAAAAAAAGACTTATCACAAATTATTAATATTAGTGCCCTTCAATATCAATATTTTTACTAACACTCATTTCTAACACTATTTACACTTTTTTAACTCTGGAATTTCTTTTGCCTTTTTCTAGTTTAGGCTGTTCGAAGTTAATTCATTGGTTAACATCACCCCCCAGCTGAAGTCTCCCCCGAAAAATAAACAACCAATCAAAACACTGGATAACTTCCACCAACCACTTGATTTACATCTACCAATGAAATTGGCCCATTTTTATATGCTAGTTTCATTTCACCCCTGGCAATGGAGCTCAATGGAGCTGTGAATGGAGTCAATGAAGCTTTGAATGGAGCCAATGGATACTAGTTTTTTGAGCTCAATTCGCATAGCCACTGAGCTCCATTGGCTCCATTGCCAACCCTGGCCCCTCCCTCCTCTCCCAAGAGTTCTAAAAGTGATGTTAACCAAGGAATTAACTTCAAACGGCTTTAATGTTAACGTTTGGTTCTGACTTTATTTGACAAATTTTGTCGATCCAGACTACATAAAGCTACCAATTTTGCCGGGTAACTTGTTTTAGGTTAACCGGGTTTCCGCAATGTACACGGTGGAACGGAACCCTTCATATTAATCTGTTGCAGTAAACAAATGCATAATGACATGATTTCACGTGATGTGAGTTCCTTGTCTCCCATGTTACCATGTCAGTGATGTATAAAAAAGAAACAAAATTATGATATATCTCGAATATCTCGAGTCGTAGTTTTGATTCCATCACCACCTTTTTTTCTAAGTTTTTCCATATTATTTTTGAGAGCCACTGTGTAAGGTCAATAGAGACCCGGGGGTTATTTTCGCTTTTCGTATCAGGCTGATCCGGAAAAGTCAAATTTTGTGCTCTCCGATTGGCCATTTCCTTTTTAGGGGGATCCTTAAAGCTTAAGGCTAGTTATATGCATATATCAGATCAAGAATACAATTTATAGAATCTGCCCCGCTTTAAGGGACCCCTATCTCGTGAGTAAGGTAATAAATACTTATTTTTTTTACCTTTACGTATTTTTACGTATCAATACTTATTATTGCTTATTACGACTGATTATTACGTATTACGATTCACGACTGATTATTACAATCTCTTTTTTATTTTATTATTCTTTATTATTTTAGGGAATTGATATTTCCACACCCTTTTTTGATATTGCCACACCCCTGCTAATAAAAATCAATATATATTATTAGGGTTTTGGTTAGAATTTAGAGTTTGCGGGGTTTGGCAATATCAAAAAAGGGTGTGGAAATATCAATTTCCTTATTTTATTATTTTATTATTATATTTTATTATTTTATTATCATTTATTATTTTTTATTATTTTATTATTTTTTATTATTTTATTTTTTTTTTCGATCAGACAAATACCACAGTTTCTTTACTTATTATTGCATTACGTAAAAAAATTTGATGGTAATATTTCTTAATGATAAGTAATAATATGTATTGACAATCACTCGTGAGGGTTATGTTGTTACGGGACAGTTGTGAACATATATAATCATAAAAAAATTAGTGATTAAAATTTGAACACACTGAACAATTTTGGACACTTAGACATTGGACAGTAAAAACGTACAACACTGCTCCTTCGACATGTTTTTTGTCAGGAGAAATCCCTCGATAAATTATTTATCTATTTATCTATTTTTCACAAATTTATTTTTTACAAATCTATTTTTTTTAAATCTATTTTTTATAAATCTATTGTTTTAAATTTTGTTTTTTTACTTGTTTATAATATTATTAAAAATATTTAGGGTTGTTTACACAAGTTAAATGTATACTGGATATCCATGGTTTACCGATAGATATCCGAAAAAAATCTGGTTTTTTTTTATTTTCTATATTTATCCGATTAGTCTATTGTCAACAGAAATTTGGCTCAAATATGAAACTTTTCAAAAAATATCATAATCACTGGGTTGGTAACCAAAAATTCAACGCAACTAAGGTGATAGTGCCTATACAGAAATCACTTTTCTTATGCTTTTTTAGTGACTGGTAAAATAGCAAAATTCGCGACTATATCGAGATTAGACTGTGCATATGTACCTATCTGGTTTAATTTAAATGCATATTGGTACATATATTTACCTTGCAATTACCAAAAAGTTAAATGAAATGTATGTGTCATAACTGAAGTTGACACCCGACTGGAGTTTCACGACATATATAAAGATACAAATAGATATACGTATAACAAATATTTAATAAAATTCTCAAGTTATTTATATATAAAGCTACAATTACTTTTTATTTATTAACAAGTGGAAATTCTACCAAATCCTGGTAGAAACTTAGGGCTATTTATACGTATATAAATCTTCATTACTAATGTATGCTTCACTAATTTTGTAGATGTATAGTATATGTAAAATGGAAAAAGTAACCGAAATAAACGAAATATTAAACTAACATAGAAGAAAGATATAATAAGAGTAAGAATAAATGTAATATAAAGCCAATAAATCTAATAGAAATAGTACGTACCTATTTGTAAAAGGATTCTGCCATGCTGTGTCGTTAGCTGTGTCGGTAGTTATTCCCATTATGAATCTAAAAACCTGTCACGTAATAATATACTTATATACTTACATAAAGTTAGGTACGTTCAATTGGTGCGTGTCCGTAAGACTTCCCCTGTCAATCGTTAAGTCGCGTAACGGTCTTGGTCACGGGATTTTGTTGACATGTCAACGATGTCAGGTGATTCACTTTCTTGAAATGATATTGGGAGACTTCAAGAACACGGAACCCAGTGATCCACATCACGTGAAATAATGCAATGACATCATTGTTTACCAGCACTAATAAATCGGCTGCCTAAACTAACCCTAACACAAACCCCAACTTAGGCCGAGTGTTTGATCATGTAATGTGATGAACACTGGACTCCGTGTATTAAGTTAGGATTAGAGATTAGAGATTAGAATTAGAATTAAAAAAGTTTTTGGAGATGCTGGACATTTTTACTTACGACATCGTTAATTTTTGAGACACAACAACTATGGAGTTAAACACACCGGTGTGATTTAGTATACTCAAAAAAAAAAAAGATTAGGGATAAAATTTTCTTTGACGTTTTTCGTTTGACTATATTTAACGTTGTGTTCAACGATAAAGTTTTGGCTTTATAGATCGTCATCATTTTATTTACTACTGGTCAATTGTATTTTATTGCAAGTATTTACGTATGTTCATTAATATATTTACAGTCATCTTGCCTACATAATCACCTTTTTAAAAGTAAAATCTGATTATTATTTCTATTAAACATTGTAAATATTCTTTCCATAAAAGAATATATTGTCAGAGGTAAAACCGACACCTCATGGAACCTGCGAAATGGACGTCATTGTGGCATACTTACCTAATTAGA